CCCCCCCCCGTACGAGAAGACCTGCCCAGGTTCAGAGTGGCTAATAATGGAATACTAAACAAGAGCTCCATTATTTCACTCTTTTCATGTGAAACTGAATTTCCTCGAAGACACTGATACTCAGACTGAGGCTCGCGAGCCACTAGTGGCTCTTTAATGTGTCTCCAGCATCTCTCTGCAGCATATGATATTAAAACACGATGTGATTTAATTATTAACTAATCTAAGTTATTAACCAATCAGGATGATTTTACTATGTTTTTAACCAATTTTATTTGAAGAAAATAATACTTGGTCAATCATTTTGCTGTGATTTTTGTGTATATATATATATATATATATATATTTCCTGTCATATTGATTAAATATGAATATATTGTACTACAGTAAATGAATCAATGAATTCACAGAACTGTGGCTCTTTTGGATAATGCTGATCATTAATTTGGCTCCTGAACTACTGAAGTCTGAGTATTATTGTTCTAGGAGGAGAAAACTTTTCTTTCCTTCAGTACCTGTTTTGCTGTAAAGGAGATTTTCTCCTTAGAAAAACAATTACAGTACAAAGAAACAACACTAATTACTGGAATTTTTGCTCATGATAAGAAAAGTTCTTCTCTTACATAAGATTTTAATTGCTTTCAGGGGAGGTTAATCATTGCAAAATCAAGGAAACGGAAATATGAGTTTTTTATTCTGTGAATTGTTTTTCTTAAGGCCTTTCTACAGTACAATTTACAGCCATTTTAGGAGAAATGTGATGAAAGCGAGAATACTCTAGAAGCCTCTCCCCATTAGGCTTGGGATTGTTATACAGGAGCCTTTCAGACCCATTCAAAGGGACACAGAGAAAGAAAGAAAGAGAAGGGGGGGTGGGATTCTGGGGCCAACACGGTTGGTGGAGCCCTGGCTTCAGCCAGTATGAACTCTGTCTTACCTTTGCCTCTCTTTGCTAGCCTAAGGACTTCCCAACACTGTTTTCCAGCTGACTATTAAAACCCATCCCGTTTTGAAAAGGCTGCCTGGTGTTGCTTTAAATACTTAATGAAGGACATTGATCCCTGAAGAGGGTACAATGTCTCTGAACAGATGTCTACCTTAGTCAGACTCTCTGTTCAGAGCTCATGGTGAGAAACGGGAGGGGTGGAGCCTGAAGGCCCGGTCTCAGAGGTGTTGAGGCTGTGTGGCCTATCCTGGAGGACTCCTTGGAGCTATGGGGCAATGAAGAGGTACTCCTAGGAGACTACTTCAAGTCTGGGGCATAGCACATTCCTTGTAGATTCATGATAACTGGTTACAACTCATTACAATTTTGTAGTGCAGACAGAATCATAGCCATATCCTCAAGCTATATTAGAACCTTAAACATTTCCACAGGGCACCTCGCATTTCAGGGAGAGTAGTTTCGTACCCACTGTTCTTCAAAGCCATGTTAAACCCAGGCTGGGAGAGCAAAGATATACTGTTACTGCAGTGCAGACAGACCATTGCCGAGACCGTCTCTTTTTAAACACTGCAGAATCATTCTCATGACATCATTATGTGGCAACAATACAGGCACAGCTGCTGGGGTGAGAGTTTGCCGAAGCTTCAGTACAAATTTACAGCATTTTAAGTGTAGACAAACCCTATTACTATTATTATTGATATGTTTTCAGTAGCACCCACGATGTGCTAAGCAAAAGGAGAATTTATACTCTTAAGCAGACAAAACAAAGAGGACCAAACAGGAAGATGGAGGGTCTGGGAAGGATGTACGCCACACAAGCAGTGTGGGGAGGTGGTAATTAGCCATGTTCTGATTGGGGACTCTTGTTAAAACAAGGTTTGGGTTTTTTAAACTAGTATAAAATATATTGACTTTTCCCAGGTAACTCCCAACCTTGCCACAATCAGCTGGTTAGTTTCTTGTCGGCACTACAAAAGAAGTGGGTCTTCGGGAGGGACTTCAGTATGAAAAGGATCAGTTAAGAAAAGGTGTTCCATGCATAGGGAAAGGCATAGAGGAAAATGTGGAGATGTTTGTGGGAAAAGTATCCAAACAGGGCATCGAGAGAAGCATTACTGGTAGAGTGAAGGGGACAGAGTGGATGCAGTGATATGGAAATAATAATCCAAATCTATCTCAGCTTTCCCTCAGGACCCAGGCTAAGATAGGAAAGGATCTTGGAAATGTTAGTTCTTAATAGGTGACATCCTGCTGGAATGGATGTGTCCATTTTCCCCAGATTGATTCCGGTTCTCCTTTGGTGAGATTGTACAATAGTGATTAACTGATTCCAATAGCCCTATATGCAACTTTCAAGTAATGAGGACTATCATTACTGTGGCCACTATCACTGGGTAAGTAGGATCAGCTTGGCTTTCATATGGGAGCAAATATCAACAAATTAATTTTTATTAGGTCTTTAAAGGGAGAGCACCATCTGAGGAGAGAGAAATGGATGGAAGACCTACTTTTAGATTCTAATTCCTAGTTCTGCCACTGACTAGCTGTGCAACCTTGGGCAAGTCACTCATGCTTGTTTTACGCTTATAAAAGACTATAAAAACATAGAACTGGAAGGGACTTCCTGCATCATGAAGTCCAGTCTGCTGCTATCACAGGCAGCTCTAGCCTATAATCCCATTAATAAACTCCATTTTGAAACCATTCAGGTTTCTTGCCCCCACTACATCTATTGGGAGGCTGTTCCAGAACCTCTCTCTTCTGATGTTATAATAAGGCTTTGTCAAATGATTAAAAAAATTAATCATGGTTAATCATGCAATTAATTGCCTGCCCTGGCCCCATGCCGCTCCTGGAAGTGGCTAGCAGGGCCCCGGGGGCAGGGGTCTCCCTCCGCACACTGCTCCTGCCTGCAAGCACTGCCTCCACAGCTCCCATTAGCTGGGAATGGGGATCTGTGGCCAATGGGAGCTGAAGGGGTGGTGCTTGCAGACAGGGGCAGCACACGGAGCCACGTGCCCCCCCCATTTCTCCCCAGGGGTTGCAGGGGCACGTTGGCCCCTTCCGGGAGCAGCATGGGGCCACACACCACCAACTGGGAGCCACCGGAGCTAAGTGCTGCCCGGCAGGAGGTCGCCCCCCAAACTGCAGCCCTGAGCCCCATCCTGGAGCCAACACTCCATATCCCCTCCTGCACCTCAAACGGTCTCCTACACCCCAAGCCCCAGCTCTGAGCCCCTTTCCAGAGCCAACACCCCAGACCCTCTTCTCCACCCCAGAACTCTGCCCCAAGCTCAGATCAGAGCCCCCTTCCACACTGTGAACCCCTCAGCCCCAGCCCAGAGCCTGCACCCCCTCCCAAACCCCAACCCCCTACCCAAGCCCGGTGAAAGTGAGTGTGTGTGTGTGTGGTGGGAGAGAGAGCGATGGAGAGAAGGGGGGACGGAGTGAGCGGGGCGCGGTTAATTTTTTTGAGTTAATCGCGTGAGTTAACTGTGATTAATCAACAGCCCTAGTTATAATGTTTCTAATTTCCAGCCTGAATTTACTGATGGCTAGTATTTACAGAAAGCAATCATATCCCCTCTCAGCCTTTGCTTTGATAGGCTAAAGAAGCCAAGCGGAGTCTCTCCTTCTAAGATAGGCTCGCCATTCCGCTGATCTGCACCTGTTCCAGTGGAATTCCTCTTTCTTGAACATGGGTAACCAGAATTGTACACAGAATTCCAAATGAGGGCTTAGCAGTGCCTTGTACGATGGCATTCAGACTTCTCTAGCTCAAACAGAAATGCCATTTATAAAATAAGGATAATAATACTTACCTTACAGAGGTGTTGTGAGGGTAAATGGAAGCTTATAAATTGCTTTGAGATGCTAAGAGCACCATATATGTGCAACATTTACTATTAAAGTATTGAAATGAAATTAAAAGCCAGGATACATATCAGTCATTGAAATATACATTCAATTCATGCTATTCCTAGAACTGATTCACTCTATGGAGCGATCTGCAACTTACCAAACACAAACCCATGTACAGGAGACAACATACAAATGCTTCCAGTTAGATTATTTTTTAAAAGAAGAAAGAGATAGCAACCTTTCTTCTGGATACACAAAATAGATGTCAGAGCAAATAAGGCAGCCCAACACACGAGGGAAAATATTGCTAATGTTTTTCCTGGACCCGGCAGGCAGTGCTGGAAATCTGATCACTCCCTTTACTCACATTTGTCCTTATCTTCAGATCATAAATCATAAATAATAATGTTTCATCACAATTTAGGCTAAGACCATCCTCAAATCTGCACTTGGAGGTAGATGAACTCAATCTAATATAGCTTTTTTTCCCATTGCAAATGTTTGTGTTATGTCATAGGAGCCTTGAGAAATAAAAACAACAATAAAAAACCCAAACAAGCAAACAAAAAACAAAGACAAAAACTAGCTTACCTCCTCCTTGCAAAAGGCCTGGTATCTTGTTTAACTTAGGGTCTTGGGTCTGATTGAAATGCTTGAGACTGAAGCTGTCGTACTGCCGCGACAATAATTTATCATTGCATAGTATCCAATTCATGGGAAGTGTTGCAAGACTGATATTGAGACAGTTCTTTGGGTCATTTCCTTCGCAGTTTCCGGAACTACTTTAATCTCCTTGTTTGCAGAATATAAATAATTTCACACAAAATGAATATCAAGTTAATTAATAAGATACCCTCTTCCCATTTTAGCCGGTCCATTTGTGCCTTTGGGTCCACCATTGGATGTAAACGTACATATAGAAAATGTATGTCCTACAAATAAGCCCGCTTCCACAAACAATAGTTTGCCTGTAAGTTCTTCTCACTGAAAGAGCTTTCTGTTCCAATAAGTAGCTTATCAGACAGGACCAATGCAAACACAGCAGTATAATTGTGTGTAATGGGATCAAGGCACCTCAGTGCATCTGTTTAACACACATCCTTCTCTACACTGAACTGTGAAACAAATATTAGTATTTATTACTATTAGCATATCAAATCAAAAATACAAGGCACAATTAATGAGTTGAGGACAGCCTATTTGTTATTAATTATTACTATAGCACATATAGGCCTCAATCAGGAGTCAAGGCCCTATTATTCCAGGTGCTGTACACACATATAATAACAATATTACCATCACTGCCGCAAAGAGCTTACAATCTATACCATATCTCTGCATTTCTCTGCTTTTGTCACTTTTAAATCTCCTCAACCTTAATTTTGTTTGTATATGGTTTTTAGTCTTTAATTTCCTGGGGGCTATGACTGCAGTAAAAAAAAACATATTTACAGGTAACTCACATATCTACTTTGCATATTATATCTAATGGTAGGAGAAAATACAAACACACCAGTCTCCACAAACCTGCAGTGCTTTTGGCTGCTTGGATCTCCTACAGTTCGATTCTCAACAGCAACTTTTCCCTCTATACAAATTCAAGCAGATGTTTCCTCTTCTTCAGGGTCTCAATTCCTCACTTTCAGCCACAACAACACTGGCGAGGAGCCTGCCGGATATTATTCACTGAGCAAACTTCATCATGGTAGCTGCAGAAGTAAGATTCTTTCTCCCCCTCTTTCCTTCTCCTCCTCACATCATCTCATCCTGAGTCCTTTACAGACTGTATGAGCCAGATTCTGATCTCACTTATATTGGCATAAATCTGGAGTAATTCCAGAATGGATTTACTCTGGCTTTACACCAACATAACCAAAATCAGAATCTGCTCCTATATATACATAGAATAACCCCTCTCTTCTCCCCCCACACACACCTTAAAAGATTATTTAGGTTGAAAAATCAGGTACTTGACCCCTCCCTGTGTGTCAGTTCTGTGCCCTGAATAAGGCAGAGGTTCTGTGGAAAAAAGTAGCATATGATCATGTAATTAAAGACTGCATTATAATGCATACACACAAGGGAGCAGAAACAGGTTGCACAGGCAACCATAAATCTTGCATTTCCTAACTTTCAAGTAGTTGACTGGCCAACCTAAATAACATTTTTAATGTATTTTAATGTAACTTCCTAGGTCTTTTTTGTTTTAAAAGGAAATAAGAAAATATCAAATTATATTATGTACCGACCATCCCCTCATAAATTATCATGAGGGCTGAACCCTAATTTTTCAGTACCACAGTACAAGCTATTACCACTTGAGCTACAGCCTAACCACAAAAAGAACAGGAGTACTTGTGGCACTTTAGAGACTAACAAACGTATTTATTTATTTATAAGCTTATGCTCTAATAAATTTGTTAGTCTCTAAGGTGCCACAAGCACTCCTGTTCTTTTTGCGGATACAGACTAACATGGCTGCTACTCTGAAACCAGCCTAGCCACAGGGCTACAAGTATATCCTGGGGGCTTATCTACACACAAATCTGCACCTAAATCACTAAATCAGGTTTAGTTCACAGCTCTTATTATTTTGGTGCAAGTCTGTGTGAAAATTTGGAATAAAAGTGTCCTATTTTGATTTTGCTTGTCAGTCTAGAGCACTTTTATTCTGACTTTCACTGAAATAACAAATGGTGTGAATTAAAAGTGACAGTTATTTCAGTGCAAGTTTGTGTGTAGACCAGCTTTCACATGACACTGCAGCAGAAAGCCACAAAAGATCTTGGTTTCAAATACAAAGGAACGAGACTATCTTCCAGAATCTCAGAGTTGAGATGTAGAGGAAAGTTACCAACAGTCACTATTATTACTATTTCCATTGCTGTTATGTCACCATGCTTCCAGCACAACAAATGTACCCCAGGAGCACACTGCCTCAACTTTGCCTGTTTCCAGGATTTACCAGGTTATAACTCCCCAAAAGTATCCAACAGACCTGCCTTTCTCATGGCATCTGGCAAACCAGACAACTTTTCCTCCTCTCGGATCATCCCATGGCACCGTCCACTTCATCACCTGTCACAGTTCAAAGTGGGAGAAACTGTCCAAAGAAATAGAAAAGCAGATATAAGAAACCGGTTTCCAGACATCCAACACCTGTACACTGCACAGGACCACTGTCTAGGCACAGGTCAGAAGCAGATAGCACAAAGCAACACAAATGAAAGCTGAGACTGAACAATGCAAGATCTGCTGCTAATAATAAACAATACATGACTTCATCGGCAATTAAGCACCCAATATACCTGGATCACCAAGGCCTGGCTGGATGACACCACAAGCCCTGTGCTAGCCCACCGTGTCCCTCCAGGATACTCGGTACCTCACAGACCCAGAGAGGACAAGAAGGCAGATGGAACTGCATTCATCTTGTCTGCACACATTAAATGCAAGAGAGGTGGTTCAGGTAAGGCAACTTCATTTGAACTCATTCATCTGACAGTAGAAGCCAGAACCAAAGCAATCTGATTTTATACTCATTTACAGACCATCACAGATTAAACGATTCATTAAGGAGCTCACTGATACCTTGTTGGCGATGGTGGTGAAATACCCAGACTTGTCATCCTGGGAGATATTAACATACATAGCAACAAGGCCACAGATGCAAAAGCCCCAAAAATTCATCTTGTCACTTGCCTCCCTAGGATTTTCATGGGTCACCCCTGGTCCAACCCACACAGCTAGCCACATTTTGGACCTGATCTTCAGCCTAAACGTCAAGATCATAGACATCACAATCCAGCCACTGTCTTTGATAGATGACTACCTCATTAAGGCAGTTGTCAGAGACCATCCAGCTCCCCAGGAACAAGAAAGACAAATGATCCTGATTCAACTTCAAAGGCTCATGGACTCTGACAAATTCCAAAGCCTGCTAGAAGACAGCAGCACTCCATCTGCAGGACAAGGAGTAGAAGACCTGGTGAATCATTACCATTCTTCACTGACCTCGGCCACCGATGCACTGGTCCCCAAATGGTCCTTTCCTCTTCATTGCCCACACAGATCTCCTGGGTTTTCTGACACCTTGCACTGTATGAAGAGAGGGGTGGAAACTTGAGTGTTGATGGCAGGGAAAAAAAAGTCTGAATCAAACAGGATGAAACTCAGGGTGGTAAACCTCTTCATCAATCCTGTATACCTACAACCTGCATCAAAACTGAGCACAAGTGCTGTGAAGAACTATTATCCCTCTTTGCTGAAAAGATTACGCACATTTGGGAAGCCTTCTCAAACAAATCCACTCTGCCTGTACCTGCCAACCACAGCCCACCTACCTTCCCAGAATTCAGTACATTCACTCATCAAGAAGTTCTGGACACCCTAGAGGAGTCTTCACCCAAGACTTGTGAACCTGACCCATGCCCTTCCTGGCTTGTGAAAGACAGTCATGAAAAACTGGTGCTACTCCTGATGGAAATAGATAATGTATCATTTACAAAAGGAATATTCCCTTTCTCCTTCAAACATGCAATAGTCTAACCAACACTGAAAAAAACCAGCCTGGATGCATCAGTTCTAGCCAAATACTGCCCAGTATCAAACCTCCTCTTCCTGAGAAGTTCATGGAGAAGCTAACCAAAGGCCAACTACAAACTCATCTAATTGAAACTAATATTTTAGACTTGGTACAGTCTGGATTCAGGGAAGAATATGGAACTGAAATCACTTTAGTGGTATTGATGTGTGATCTTCTGTTGTCGGTGAATAGAGGACAGACATCCATTCTCATCACCCTGAACTTTTCTGCAGCATTCAGCACTATTGACTGAGATACTGCTGTCCCGCTTGAGATAAATGGCAGGGGCCCAGGGTAATGCATGAAAATGGTCTGAGTCCTTCCTGGGGAGATGCACCCAATGAGTAGTGATGGGAAACTGTACAACATGAACAGGCGCTCTCATTTCCAGAATTCCACAAGGGATCAAATCTCCTCCTCATGATTTTCAAAATGTACATCCAGCCACTAGTTGAACTGATCAGACAACATGGACTCAATTCCCAGCACTATGCAGATGACACACAGCTCTATACTTCACTATATCTGACCACACCACTACCATCCACAATGGCTCAGCACTTGGACAAGATCAGCTTGTGGGTGAAGAACAGCTGGTTGAAGCTGAATTTGAGCAAAACAGAGGTGATGCTGTTGAGCATAGGAAATAATTTTGAAAAGTTTGAAACTACAATGCAATCTCTTTGGTCAATTCAGTCTGTTGTCTAGTACTCTTGGATCCCTTGCTGGCACTAAGCAGCATCTGCAAGTAATGCTTTCTACCATCTTCAAAGGGCTAGCAGACTCTCCTGGTGGACAAAGACCTGGCTTCTGTTATTCATACCTTTGTCACCTCTCATCTAGATTAAAGCAATGTAATATACCTGAGCAGGAAGCCACCAGTGCATAGGAAACTTCAACTAGAATGCTGCAGTGCATCTTCTCAGCAACACGGGATACCACGAGTGCATCAAACCTGTCCTCCAGTCTCTACACTGGCTTCCCATAGAATTTTGAATCAAGTTGAAGGTCTTGATCCTTATCTTTAAGGCACTCCATGATCTGGGGCCAGAGTATCTAAAAGGCTTCAGGATGAAGACTGTGGCTGACAACTGTGCACCTCTGTTCCAATGGGACTTTCTACCACAAGGTAAAGCTCATCTGTGCAGGACACAGAAATTTCTCGTGGATCAGTCCAAGGCTTTGGAATGAACTTCCCTAAGAAATAAGGATAATCACCAATCTCACCATCTTCCATACCAAGTGGAAGGTGCAATTCTTTGACTTTACCTTCTCTAACATAAATAAATAGCATCATGTGGATTTAAAACAAAAACACCCTCCATGGACCTAAATTGAGACACTTCACTGCATATGCTTCTCCCCATGGGAAGAGGATGAGAGAACAAACAAAGCATGACAGATTTTAGACATGTTGGTTAATGTACTATTGGAAGATGCTCAGATACCATGGTGGTGAGCGCAGTGTAAAAACCAATTGTGACAGACCCAGACCAGTGGGGTACAGGAGTCTGGTAGAGGGCAAATATACTGGTCACTGGATGAGTAGTTTTCTGTTCCCTGAGTGACCAGAGCAGGGGCTGCACTAGAGTAATCAGGAACCTGCTAGAACCAATTAAGCCAGGCAGGCTAATTAGGACACCTGCAGTCAATTAAGAAGAAGCTACTAGAATCAATTAAGGCAGGCTAATCAGGGCACCTGGGCTTTAAAAAGGCGCTCACTTCAGTTTGTGGTGTGAGTGTAAAGTGCTGAGAGTCAGAGGTGCAAGGAAGTGAGAGTCAGAGGGTGTGCTGCTGGAGGACTGAGAAACACAAGCGTTATCAGACACCAGGAGGAAGGTCCTGTGGTGAGAATAAGGAAGGTGTTTGGAGGCAGTCATGGGGAAGTAGCCCAGGGAGTTGTAGCTGTCATGCAGCTGTTACAGGAGGCACTATAGACAGCTGCAGTCCATAGGGCCCTGGGCTGGAACCCGGAGTACAGGGCGGGCCCGGGTTCCCCCCGAACCTCCCAATTGACCTGGACTGTGGGTTCTTCCAGAGGGGAAGGTCTCTGGGCTGTTCCCCAACCCACATGGTGAA